GGAGCCCCATATATACAGGAGGTACCCAAGAGGTTGATGTCATGACTGGTTCTGTGTACTGTGGCTGAGAAGGTGGAGACTGGAGTAGGTAAAACAAAGTGAGGAATCCATCATTACTCTCAGAATTTTACTTAAGACACTTAAACGTAATTGCCTGCTGACTTATCTATTTCCTCCATTAGAATGTAAATTCCCACAGGGCCCATCTTATTCACTATTTCATCTTCCATGCCTGTCAGAATGCTTAGCATGCTGTAGTTACTCAGTAAATTGTTAAATGAAATAAATGGGCAGATAATGCCATTTGCTACGAGAGAAAATAAAAAAGAAGAAGCAGGTTCGGGTTGAGAAAAAGTGAGTATAATTTTGAGCCATTTCAACCTCTAGCACAGTACTTAGCAGAGAGCAATTTCATTATAAATAAGTCTTGAATAAAGGAATAAAAAAATAAACATATGTACACTATTTTCTTTCTTGCTTGCTTACTATCATCCATCCATCCATCCATCCATCCGCAAGGCCTGGAGATTAGGAAATTATATGTTATGATTTAAAAGGCTGAACCTGAGCTGCCGGAGATATACTAACCAAAGATACTGAAGGGTTCAGAACAAGTCTCCTCAAAACGTGTTACTTTGGTATATGGACTATTTTGATCTAAAGGCAATCAAGGCCCTGTGAGCTAAAGAGAAACTTTTGCCCCTCCATTAACTACCTAAAAGAACATAAATTGGGAGACTTTCCCAGAGTAAGAGTTATTATCAGAGATAAATTTTATCTGAGTGACCCATCTGTACTGGCAGGGCAAATATCTGAATACTAAACATCTGCTCTTCTTCTTGCCCTGTGAATTGCCCTCCTCCGCTCTGAAGCCCCAGTTCCCTATATTCCCCTTCCTTAGCTCATGATGACATATCTATCTCCTTTTACCTTTCTGTTGTTGAAACTCTCATGTATGTGGGGTTTTCATACATATGAAATTAAATTTTTCTCCTGTTAATCCGACTCATGTCAATTTGATTCTCAGTCCAGCCAGAAGAACCTCTGAAGTGTAGAAGAGAATTTATCCTAACAATATGATATCTGGTGGTAAGCCTGGACAAGCATAGGAAGTCACTCAAGTAGAAATGAATTTTCCTATGTCAAAGTTCACGAACATAATACATTATTATTAAGGTTTTACTTATTGTAGAGAGAGAGTGTGTGTGCTTGTGTGCACACTGGGGGGGATGGGGTGGAGGGATGGCTAAGAATCTCAAGCAGACTCCCTGCTGAGCCCAGATCACAATTGGGGAGGTGGGGGGGAGCTCGATCTCATGGCCCTGAGATCATGACCTGAGCTGAAATCAAGAGTCGGACACAACCTACTGAGCCACCCAGGTGCCATTATAACATTCTAATTTTTAATTTTAATTTTGAAATATGCTATTTCAACAATGAATGTCAATATGTTAAAATATCCTTTCAAAATTATCCACAGAAACACAGGTTCAACTTAAATCCAATATATAACCATTTCCATAATCTATGTTTTGCTCCTTGGCAAAGCTACTCATTTTCTTAGCAATGCTCAATTTTTACTTTATTTTGATTAAAGATTAGAAATACAATGTGACTTTTATGTGGTTTTTTTTTCCTACAAGAAAATCATACCACATTTCAGAGGCCTCCAGGACATGGTTAACAAAAGCTAAATCGACATTACCAAGAGAAGTGTACTGAGGAAAATACTGTGAATATAAATATACTCGCACATTCTCTTCATTCCTCATGCAGCTCAAAGCCCCACAAAAACCATCAATGTCCTTTTGTATTATCCTTCAAGCATCCCCACTGCACAAAAGGCCTACATCTGGATGTAAATATATCAGGAGAACTCCCATGAGAATTCTTGGCCTGGCAGGAGCTCACACAGGGAGTGGGGGTGGGGTGGGCTTTATGTAGCAGCTGTCCCAAAGAAGGGAATTGGAAGGGAATGCAAATCCGTTCTCTCCCAAGCTGTTGGCCTCAATTCAGGCAAGTAATTTGCTTCTGTAGGATTAACTCCCCTGCCAAAAACTATCTATCTATGTACAGATGCCACCAATATCTTTGTAGGTCAGTTAATTCTACTGAGGACATTATACACATAGCAAAGATAACAAAGAAATTAAATAAAGACAAGAGAGAAATATAAATAATAACTCAATGAGATGATTTGTCCCTTAAAAAATGTATTGACAAAATAAAAGGCTACCCCCTCAAAAACAACTCAATGAACACTTGTAAATGTTAAATAAAAAATGTATATATAAGGATCCTATTAACTCAGGTTTTGTGGGGGAAAAAAAAAAAAAAAGGCAATATTCTGACATGACACACATATCCAAACAGTCTCCATCTGAAAATGACTGTTTTCTTTCATTTTCCTTACTCGCCAAAATGCTGCTAAAAGAGCTTCTTGAGTGGTGGGGGGAGAACCTAGCTGTTTAAAAACAAAACAAAACAAAACAAAACAAAACAAACTATTGCTTAAGAGCAGAAAGGGAAGAATCAAAGGCAAAAAACAGTCTCCACTATCTGCCAGTGAAAACTGCCAGGCAGGCCCAGTCTACCTATTCTTGCTGGTTTTTTTCCTCTAAGTATCTTTTCCATACTCCCTTATTTCCCAGAACCTGACAAGACTCTAATCCCTTTTTCAGATTAGTCAAAAAGCATATTTATTTCAAAAGGCTGAAATGTGATGGAAAATCAGTCATTCAGAGTAATAACTGTAGTGATATTTATATCACCTGATACTGGTATTGTTTTATTTATAAAAAGTCAGATTTGGTCAATATCATCTTCTGTATTGTATTCCATGTGAGAAAAGGCCAAGCACAAAGCTGAACTTCCTCTGTCCTTCTAGCTTGGGTCTCTCCAGGTAGGATGGTTGGGGGAAAAAGGACTTGATCAAATAAATTATTCTAAGGGAAGAGGTTCCAGGTTCTAGTGAGGTGGGGAACAAAGGCAAAAAGGAAATGTAGATGAAATTAAATTTTCTTATAACCTGCAGTCCATTGACAAATACTTGAGGCAGGCAGATTATACATTCTTCCAGGAACTCCCAATCGTAATTTTAATATCTTGCTAGAGGGAAAAATAACCTTAGCTTGACAATAGCTAGGCTGTCAGTATCCTCAGAGTCCTCTTTAGTATATGAAAATATTTTCGGAAACGTCCCTGTCTTTACCTCCCCCAACCCCAGAGTATACAATCAGCTTCTCCTCACAATCTCGGGGCAGCCCTTTCTGCTTAAGGGTCCTGTCCCATGCTATAAAAACACCTTTTAGCACTGGAGACGTCTCAAGAAAGAATTCTTGAGGCTCCGAACCCCAACAGTTCCACTCGACGAGGAGAATGGATGTGCCACAAGAGAGGAACAGAATGAATTGGGCCACGGGAAAAGGGGTGCACAGGATCTGAAGAAAGGGCTGGGGCTGAAGTTGGGTCCTTCCTCGGTCTGCCCAGAACCTCCACTCTTCTTTCACATCTCTGTCCCCAGCTCTCCCCATCTTTTCCCCACCGGCCCCCAACTGATATCTAAGATGTTTCTATCCATTCATTATAGAAGTAGGCCTTGGCTGAAAATGGCTCTGAGGGAGAGCCAAATGATTAACAGAAACAAAAATAAAGGTATCTAGCCTCGTTTGATATTCTGAGAACAGGGAACTAAAACACCGATAATTTGAAGATGACTTGAACAGGGATGCGGGGTATGTAGTCAGACTGCTTTTCTAAATATCTGCATATGCACATCTGGATGACTGAATTTAAATGCAGCATGGCCTGCTCTAGATTTAAATGACTGAGATTTCAAAAAATTATTACAATCAACAAAACTACTGGCATTTTGGTATGTAAAAATAGCACAGAATACTGGAATAACCCAAACTGAGATTATCACTAAAGTAACTAAATGACTGTTTTCAATGGCTAGTGTACGTTATAACACAACATAAAAGTTTGTATGTCTGACGTGAAAGTCTGTCATACCGGAATATTACACTCAACGCCACTGATGCTTAACTCTGCGTGTACATCAAAAATATCCCCACCCACAATGATTCTGTGGGTTCGGGCCCAGATGTCTGTATTTTTACAAGTTTCTAAGGTGATTCTGACACATACTTCCAGTTAAGACAGAGTGACTGTGTTAGAGGATGTTAAATATTATTCCACTCAACTCCCAATTAGTCCACTTAGTCCCAGCAAAATGTTAAGATCTCACACACAGAGTTGCTTTGCTTACAAATCCATTACTAATCTCATCATCTCTCTGGGTTAGTTTTATTTGATGGGTACCACAGTAGCACTTGAAAAAAAAAAAAAAGGTTAAACTTTGCTTCTCACACCACCACAAGAAGTTATTTAAAACTAACACTTCAAATGAGGATTTAAGAGGGAATAAATTTAGAGGTGAGCTGGGAATTAGGTATTTACTTTGAAAGTAAAGCTATCAATCCACAGCATGGAATAAAGAACAGGAAGCAGTGAAGTTAGGATAGAAAGGGGGAAGCTAGTTGGTCATCAGATTCTTCCTAAAACATGTCTCCATGGCCTGGCTTCACTATTGTTTTTGACAATGATAACAACTCAACATGTATGCTCATGTTCAAATGCAAAGAAAAGTATTCCCTCAAGATATAATCTACTTTCATCATATGTTTTGGTATAATCTATGAAACTATTATACTCAAACTAACACTAAAAATCAAAAGTTGATTATACTATTTGGATGCAATGGGCCAGTTTCTTTTTTTCTTTTTTTTTTGGGGGGGGGTGGGGTAAGGTGGGGCAGAGAGAGAATTTTAAGTAAGCTCCAGGACCCTGAGATCATGACCCGAGCTGAAATCAAGAGTTGGACACTTAACCGAAAGAGCCACCCAGGCACCCCACAATGGGCCAGTATTCTTAACCTCAATTTATGTCCTTTGATTTTTCATCTGTGTATAATAAAAAACTTAAATTTATTAACATACCTTGGGTCAAGAAGACTCCTCAAAAATTTGAAAAGCAAAACCTGGTTCTGAATAGAAAAACAATTAAGAATACAATATTTAAAAACAAATTCTTCAAACTATGCCAAACTAGAGTATCCCTTTAAAGTGCAGAAATTTCCATCAAGTCCTCTGTAGAGATCTAAGAAATTCTCAAGTCATTTGGAGGTCATTTCCTCCCAGTAATTCAAATCACTGTCACACATTCCATTTTTGAGTGCAGAAGAAACACAAATGCCTTATTATTGCAAAACAACAACAACAACAACAACAAAAGCAAACCCTCTACTAAGATCCATCCCTTGGCAGTTCTCAGCATAGGGACCCGGGAATGGCAGGTGCTCTGAAATGCCATGCTGACAAGCGCATTTTAGCTACACCGAGGGGTTCCCACTGCCTTACCTGGTCCTCTTCTTGGGAGGACAGCCTACTGTGAGATAACCTAAGTAGGGTGGGAGTTTGAGGCCCAAACAGCAAGCAGCACCAGAAAAGTTCATTAACTCCCCAATGTAATCAGCTACAGAAGAGACAACACACTGCAACATGTTAGCCGTCAGTATGCCATAAAATCTGGGTTCTGCTTCTTCCACTTATCTGCTATGTGACTTTGTATAAATCACTGACTTTCTTAGCAGTTCAGTTTACTTATGTGAAAAAGAGAAGAGCAATATTTTCTCTGCCTTCTGCACAGGGTAGAGGTGAGACTTAAATGAGAGATACCTTAAAATACTATATGAATAAAATAATGTTTTTAAGTTCTTAGGAAAGCTAAGCAAAAATTATAGCTTAGTTTTTCTTTTTTCTTTATTTTTGGATATATTCAAATTTCAGCTGTATAAAGCACAGAACTCAAAACTGGAAAGGATTAATGTAATTTAGAAGATGACATTTAAAATATGTTTATCAGTCTTTGATTTTATATCTTTTCCCTGGTCTATCATTTTGTTTTATTTAAATATGACTTTCCTTCTGATTATAACTTAATAGTCTGGCTTTTTCATTTCAAGAATTCTCAAAACAATTGGTCAGAAGCATATTTCTTGCCACCAAGAAAATTCACTTTATAAAATTTGTGTGGGATTCTCTCATATTCAGTAAATCTCTGCAATAAATAAACACCTCATTTCTTTAAAAGAAATGTGTACGACTCTACAAGCACTCCACAAATAGCCAGTTTTTTAAAAAAAAATCCATGACACTTCAGCTTTTTTATGTTTGTCTGATGAGTGACATTGTATTCATTTACTTGGCCTGTCTCTAAGGATCTTTAGAGACTAAGGAAAACAGAAAATCCTGCATTGGATAGCCTTACATTTTAAATGACAGTAACAACACTTAAAGATGAGGAGATATATCAGAAACTGCTGACTTTTAAAGAAGGGAGAGGCTCTGTGGACTGAGAGTATTTGTAGCACAAGTGTCCTCCTGTCCTCATCACTAGAATGGACTGGATGACTCTCCATGTACTTCCTCAGTATCCTGGGCAATGCTCTATCATCATTCAAGTCCAATTATTCTGCAACTGTCTTTTGGCTTATCCTTCTTCTTCCTTGAGCACAGGGACACATGTATATGTTTTTTGTATCCTCGGCACATAACAGTGTTTTCGGTTCACAGCAGGTACATAATATTTACTGAATCCATGGATGTGTCTTTATCTTGAGTTAACGGACCTCATCATGCTGGACAGCCAAGCCCGATGTCTGGGAGTCACTTTTAACCTCTCGGATCACTTTCGACTCAGTTCTAAGCCCTACATGTTCTACTTCACAAACACATCCTAAACCTGTCCACATCACTGCCACTGACGTAGTCTCCACCCTCGCCATCTTTTGCCTAGACCCTTCACCTTCTAACTTGTCTATGTGGTCTCTGTTCTCCATATGCTCCCTTTGCTAGTCCACTCCCCACACTATAAAGTTAATTTTCTGTAAAATGAATCTAATGATGTCCTTTTGCTGAAAACCTTCAGTAATTCTCTAGGTTATCTAGAAGATATGGTATAATTTCTTAGCACTACACATAAGACAGTTCAGTATCAGAGTGCAAACTCTAATTTCTAGCTTCTATACCTTTAACTCCTCCCTCCCTCAGAGCTTTTCTGGCTTACCTGAATGCTCCCCCCACCACTGTCACCAGGATGTCATAGTCACAGACCTGGCCATTCTCTGGATATGCATGTTGTCTCATGCCTTCAAGTGTTTACATACCCAGAATCCTCTATTTAGAAAGTTAGTCTCAATTCTCTGCCTAGAAAACTGATGCCAATCACTCAGGACCCAGCCCAGGCATGTCTGGGAGCTCTTGCCTGGCCTCAGTCACTCTCCCCTCTTGCTTCTGTAACACTTTCTCCATGTGTCTGGTGTAGCACTTATAACCTTGCATGGTTATATAAGTGCTTCCTTCTTCCACATGGAAAATTAAGGAAAAGGCTGCATTCATATTGGCAACCCAAGGCCTACCATACTGTGGTACATGGTGAGGCCGTGATAAGTGTTTAAATTAATAAGTTCCAGATCTTTGTCTCTCCTTCCAGCTGCCCTCCACTCACTGCTTTGGTTTTCCTCTTGCACAGTTATCACCTCCTACACTTATGGGCACTTGAGGACTCTAGGCCATGCTTTATGTTGCTGTCACTGTCCTACTCCCTACCTCTATCACTTGTGGACCTAACACCAGTGAGCAAAACGCACTGCCAGCACTGCGTAATGTTTTTAAGTTCTTAGGAAAGCTAAGCAAAAATTATAGCTTAGTTTTTCTTTTTTCTTTATTTTTGGATATATTCAAATTTCAGCTGTATAAAGCACAGAACTCAAAACTGGAAAGGATTAATGTAATTTAGAAGATGACATTTAAAATATGTTTATCAGTCTTTGATTTTATATCTTTTCCCTGGTCTATCATTTTGTTTTATTTAAATATGACTTTCCTTCTGGTTATAACTTAATAGTCTGGCTTTTTCATTTCAAGAATTCTCAAAACAATTGGTCAGAAGCATATTTCTTGCCACCAAGAAAATTCACTTTATAAAATTTGTGTGGGATTCTAGGGTCACTAATAATACTTCAAACTGAGCATCTCAATATTTGGCATTAATATAACTGTATTCTAATTAAGATTTTCCAAGAAAAATTCTAAATAGTCAGCATTAACCCAATTTGAGGCAAAAGTCTGAATAAATAATAAATAACATCAACCTCAAAGACAATAGAGCTATAGTTCCTATAGTAAAAAACAAACAAACAAAAAACAAAAAAGAGGGGGGATCTTCTGTGGATTACTAATTCTAGATTAAGTACAGGGCATAGTTCTAAAAATGTTTCTGTGATATTACTATTTATTATGCAGAAAGATGAACTCTTTCCCTTCCAGATGCAGAGATCATCATACAATTGCTCCCAAATATACACACACACACACACACACACACACACACACACACACACACACACA